GGAGTGGCTTGCAGGTCTCAGAAAACTTATCAAATTTAATTTGGGGAGCACACCAGAAGATGCAATAACTACTTCTTAATTTTTATGTTTCATAGATGCCTATCATCTGAATTCACTAGTCTCCTCCTAATTCCAAGGGCATGTCTCCATCCATTATATGATAATATCTGAAACCAGTTCCAAAATTTCCAGAAATGCTGTAGGCACCAAAAATCTACTAATATGGAGAGAAATGTGGATTCCCAGCTGCTTTAGGAGAGCTATGGAGTCTAGCAATTCTACAACCGATAGCAGTGCTAAATCCCATAAATGTAATTACACCAACCTTTCTGTTTGGTGCATTTCAATACATCATGTTAGTACATCTAAGTGCAAAAAATGGAGTCACAGGGCACTTTTGGGGTGTAGGAAATCAGAATGGTATGTGAGGGCTGATGAAACTTGTGAATGAAAGAGAGTACAGAGAACATCAGGACTGAAAGAGAAGGAAATAGGGACACACAGCACCTTCTCACAGGGATGGAGAATTGGAGGATGTGGGGAGGGAAAATGAGGAGGCAAACAAAACCCCAAGAGGAGATTTGAAGATGATGTGTGGGGAGTCTTTAAACCGATACTAGCATGAGTGTAGCCCTGGAGTAGCTGTGGAGGGATGCAGAATTCAGAGGAAAGCTGGGCTGTGCAAAACTGGGACACCAGAGTCTACGAGGCAGGTTACGCCTATGTGTGCTCGCCTTTTGTAAGATTTATATTTTCCTGTCACACCAACTCAAATGAATTGACAGACTAATTCCCAACCAGGTGCAGAACAGCAAAAAAAGCAAAGTGAATCTCCCCTAAAAATGTAAAAAGTCAGAAATTAGTCAAGGAGTAAATCTACAGGGCCATTCCCTAGTTTGATGGTTTCTTCTCATCCCTTGGCTCTTTTATCACCCACATGGCAGGGATGTTGATTTTTTAGGGGCAAACCACGCAGTTTCCTCGGGCACAAAGACTGAATGAAGTTCTAGGGATGATTCACTCCAGAGGTCATTCTGTGTAGGCAGTGTGATCCAGACCTCCCCAGGTCTGCTTCCTCTCTGCACAGTCTTCCCACACTATCCTGAGAGGTCCAGTGCCATGAAAGGCCCTTGCACATGTGTATGCCAGCACCTGTGGCCTCTGCAGGTTTGCGGGATACTTATTCTTCCCTGATGGGATTTCAAATACAGCAATTAGCCTGAACCTGTGATGCTGCTAAATGTCAAAGTTCTGGGAGCTCTTCTGGGTCTGATGGCCAAGCTATAGCTTCCATTCTCAGATAGACTTCCCTGAGGGTCTGGTCATTATCACGAGTTATTATCACATCTACTGCCACAATGCCTGGAGTCCTGGCTGATAGCTAGGACTCGTTAGATATGGTACAAATAGCTGACAAACAGAGGAAGTTTAGGATCCCAGTGTAAGGCAAGAAAGTACAGAAGTAATACTGATCAGCGTGTTCGGTGCCTACCTGTTCTTGAAAGATGGGTAAAAGACCACTTAAAGAAAAGAACCTCTCAAGATATATAAGATTCTTAAAGACAATGAAGAGGAATAATGGCAACGGGTATCTTGAAATGTCCATATTCATGCACGGCTCCTCCCAGTGTGAGGACTGGTACAACAATAAAGCCCAAAGATGGTGACTGATATCAAATACAATGGTGAGGAGGTCTAGCATGGGAAGAGAAGCCCATGTTTTGAAAGGTTATGATGGCTGATAAGGAAAAGGGTCTTGAAAATGGGAGCAAAATATTTGCTGTGACAGTGAAGCAGTTAGAAGTCAATAGAGGGAAGCAAATATAAGGTCACAATAAGACCTAGGAAATTCATCTCTCCAAATGCTTTCTGGATCAGAGACAGGAATATGGTTGTAAAGGCCAAAGAAATAGATACTGCAGTGGTTTAGATGTGAGAAGACAAGAATTTGAGTGATGTGGATGAAATGAAAACACTGGATCCTAGGAGTGTTGCATGAGATCCAGCTGCCATGTGGATGAGTTGATCCAAGAGCGCCAGCCTGATGGGTATTGCTTGCTGTCACCTGTGTGCACCATTTTTGCACAACCCTTGTCTGATGGATGCACATTCAGAAGATCCCTAAGTTCATTTGATCATTGATTAAAACAACGGTTGCCCTTTATGATGAGTAGGCTAAATGCTGTGGGTTTTCTTAAGAAGAGACTAAAGAGTTGTAGGTTTGAGTGCCTTGTGCTGAGATTCAGATCTGCAGTCTGCTTCAAAGAGGCTTTTGAAATCTTGAGGGAAACATGCTTTTAGCTTTCAGGGAAAGTGAGAGTACGTGATCTCAACTTGCTGCTAATCTGATAACTCTTTAATTTTAATCACCCTGACAGTCTGTGGTAAACCATGTGGTTAACTATTTCGGGTACAGTCGTGTCTCTCGAAGCCACAGCCTGATGTAGTTTACAAGGCGAATCCTTTGATAACACAAAGATACAAGGGGATTAAAATAGCCCTTACACAGCTTAGCTGTTAAGCCGTTCACAACACTTTACATTGTTGCCGTCCTCAAACTTTGTGACTTTTACTAAGCAGCAAGATAATGAAAAGTAAAAAGGGCAGAAAATATCCAAGTGAGAAAATGATGGGTGGCTCTGAAAGAAAAGGGCATTGCAAGACTGGGTCTGGGAGTTGCTGATTGGATTACTGTTGCCAAGACATGGCTTTGTTTCAAGAAGAAGGCACTTTGAGAGTCAAGGGCAGATGCCAAATGATGAACAACTATCAGGAATTCAAGCCAGTCATTCTTGCTGGTTGCTAAGGCTGCATTCATTATGCAAAGCATTTGACACTGTCCCACACGACATCCTTGTCTCTAAATTGGAGAGACATGGATTTGATGGATGGACCACTCGGTGGATAAGCAATTGGCTGGATAGTCGCACTCAGAGAGTTGCAGTCAACAGCTCGATGTCCAAGTGGAGACCAGTGACAAGTGGCGTTCTTCAGGGGTCAATATTGGGACCAGCAGTGTTTAACATCTTTGTCGGCAACATGGACAATGGGATTGAGTGCACCCTCAGTATTTGTCCTCCACATGGGTAAGAGCAATCCCAAGCACAAATACAGGCTGGGTGGAAAATGAATTGAGAACAGCCCTGACGAGAAGGACTTGGGGGTGTTGTTTGATGAGAAGCTCAACATGACCCGGAAATGTGCATATCCTGGGCTGCATCAAAAGAAGCGTGGCCAGCAGGTCGAGGGAGGTGATTATCCCCCTCTACTCCATTCTTGTGAGACCCCACTTGGAGCACTGCATTCAGCTCTGGGGCCCCCAACATAAGAAGGACATGGCCCTGTTGGAGTGAGTCCAGAGGCAGGCCACGAAGATGATCAGAGGGCTGGAACACCTCTCCTATGAGGACAGGCTGAGAGAGTCGGGGTTGTTCAGCCTGGAGAAGAGAAGGCTCAGGGGGGACCTTATTGCAGCCTTTCAGTACTTAAACGGGGCTTATAAGAAAGATGCGGACAAATTTTTTAGCAGGGCCTGTTATGATAGGACAAGGGGTAATGGTTTTAAACTAAAAGAGGGTAGATTTAGACTAGACATGAGGAAGAAATTTTTTACAATGAGGGTGGTGAGGCACTGGAACAGGTTGCCCAGAGAGGTGGTAGATGCCCCATCCCTGGAAGTGTTCAAGGCCAGGTTGGACAGGGCTCTGACCAACCTGATCTGGTGGAAGGTGTCCCTGCTCATTGCAGGGCGGGTGAAACTAGGTGATGTTTAAGGTCCCTTCCATCACAAACCATTCTATGATTCTATGATTCTATGATTATGACTGCAGAAAATGTGAAGACATGATGGCTAAGAAATTTTACTCATAATTGCTGTTACTGTTCTGCATAAACATAAAGGGCCACAGATCATGCACCCAGAGATCCCGATGCCAGCCCCGATCCAACGAGCCTGTTTTGTATTTGAATTTCTCAGCCTTTAGGTCTTAAATAATCATTAAGTAGTGCCTTTATCAACTTCTCCCTCTCCAGCTCAGCTTCAGTGAGCTTTTCAAGTGCACTGAAATGATCTAACTTAATTCATTTCAAATGATTGAGAAGTATATTTAGATGTGAATTGCTGATGACACAGCACTTCACGTCCTTGTTTTGGGACAAGTTATATTTAGGTTTGCAAACTTATTTCACAGTAAGTTGCTCTTTGGTGTGCTCAAACACAACTGAGTCTACTCCCCTTTCCAATGTTTGCTTATAGATGATTGCAACTTTTAATGACTTACTTTTGCTTACTATGCTTCATGGGTGCAGGCAGCAGCTCTATGATATGATCGTGTACAGCTTCCTTAAGAAAATGTTGGTAGCGTTTCATGTTGCTCATCTGCTGGGTGCAGAAAGAAACGACTCAACCACCTGCTTCAGGCAGCAAGGGCAGGAGCAGGCAGATAGGCCTGATGCCTCCCACCACCACTCCCAGCTGCTGCAGAACATCCTTGCTCCAGCATCCTTTCTCCTCTAGAAGAAACACAAGGGAGACAAATCAGCCCCTCCTAACTAAAAAAGTGTAGACAAATACAGGCTTCACATCACTTGGTGGAGACACTCCCAAGGGATTTTTCTGCATCCTGAACAAATCTATACTTATAAAAACAATGGCAACAACTAACTCCAATGTGAAGAAGGCTTTGGAAGGCAGGATTGTTGTAAAATTAAAATAAAAAATATTCACTTAAAATAACTAATAGTTTTGCCAGACACTCAGAGCCTCTCCTTGACTTAGAGATAATCAAAGAAACAAAGCTTTGCTACCCTCAGGTTCCCTTTGTGACATCCACTTTCATCCCTCTGCTGTGATTTTAGCCCTGTGGCTGGGAGCAGAATTAGGCTTACTTCACTGAGCTCTGGGCATGATCTGGTATTAATAAGACAGAAAGATGGGGGAAGTTCTTGGTCAATAAGGTAGTTGCACAAGCTGTCCTGATTCTCAGGCTTTCTGTTTGCAGAAGAATGCCCAGCTCTTCCAAGGACTGAATTTGCTGATGTTACTGCTGAAACATATCCACTGGGGACCAAACTGTATTATGAATGTGACAGTGGCTATGAAAGAAGAAGTGGCCAGTACGGTGGAATTCGGTGTCAGATTATACAGCAGGTTGCTTCTTGGGTCTACAAGGAATTTGAATGCATCGGTAAGTGATTATTATCCTTTTTCTCCACTTGTAGAGGTGTTTTTCCAATGAGTTAGTATAAAAAACACCTGGGCATTGCTCTAACAAATGATCTGTTGCACTTATCTTTGCAAATTAGAACTTGCAATAATTCTATCCTGCCTCTAAAAGTTTGGATGCTCTGGCTTTGCTCTGCTATTCGTCCTGCTGTAATTCAGCAAGTATAACTTCTTCCACAGATAAGAAAATTTTGTTGTCAACGGCTCCCACAATAGAGTTAGGTTTTCCACAGAAGCCAGACAGAAAAACACAGAGTCCTGCACCCCAGAAGCAAGAAAACCTCTCAGAGTTTGACCAGAAACGTAAGTAAGAGCCCCTTCATTACTGTAACACTTCTCCTACTGATTTCCATGGAAGCAGTGTAAGAATGATGAGTCATTTTTAATTGTTTTGACAGAGAGAAAGAAACAATTGCTATAATGTCTTGGCTGAACAAGTGATGTGGTGTAAGCAAATTAGTATTTTATATCCTAACAAAGAATTAGGAAGGCTTGGTATATCCTGCTTGTCTATATTTTGTAAAAATACAAATCATGTTGTTTCAAGAACAGAAGCAGTAGGTAAAATCTGTCTGCTTTATCTGTGATCCCACAGATTTTTGTGGTCCTCCCAAGACTATTCCACATGCCTTTTTAAACCTGAACAAACAGTATTACGTGGGACAAGTATTACATTTCAAATGCCAGAGCGGTTACGATAAGCGACACCCCACCTCTGGCACCCGCAGGTGTGAGAAGGTGAATGGCAAAATCATCTGGACCCCTCTTGACATGCGATGCACCAATGACAGCAGCTATAGCAGGAAGTGGCCACCACAGACTATTGAGCCAGGTAAGATGGTTGCTTTGGCATCATATCGGTGTCATGACCTGTTCATGCAGGGTCCAGACCCCCCCAGCTCAACACTTCAGTCCTAGGGAACAACGTGCTTGGGGTTTGCGATGGAGAGATCAGCCACCTCAGGGCTCTGACACTGAGGGAGATGTCATCTCTGACTGATGGAGGTGACATCACTGGAGAGGACATAGTTGCATCCTACTTTGTCTTGGGTGTCCTTTCATACTAACTGCAAAATTGCAGGAATTTGTGAGCAAATAGAGCCACATTGTCATATACTGGGAAGAAAACAGTAGAATAAGCCTTTCTCTTTTCTCCTTCCTCCTGGCAGCTATGGGTCATCTGTTGTCACTTCGCAATAAGGTACTCCAAAAGGTATATCTAAGCATCCCTCATGATTGCTCAGGGTTTTAGGATCCAGAGTTTAGCTAGTCCATAGCTAAAAATGAATGATGTGGCTCCGTTCTTAATTTAATAGCCAAGATGCTGTTTTGAATAAAGAGATGGCCAAAAGGCCATCCGTATTGCACTATAGTTACATGTACCGCTGCGGTCTGGCAGCTTGAGTTTCACTGCTCAGAGAGCCAGCAGGGCTCTCAAGTGAGGCTGCAAACCTCTGTTTCTTACTTTTATGCCCTTAGATGTGTTAATGCCAAAAAAAAAGACCTTCATGGCCTCTACCCTGCCCAAATTACTTACCTTTTCTGATGGCATGTCTCCTCACCCTACAATGAATGAGTTCAGTATGCAGAGAGAAAACAGAGCCCCTTTCCCAAGCATCTGTGATAGCACTGAGGGTCTTGGGTCCTCTCTGGGTGGCAGGCAGAGCTATTGTAGGCGGAAGAACCCAGATGTCCACCACCTCCACAGTCCTCAGGTTTTCATTACCTTCTCAACCTCCTCTGAGCTACGGGAGTGCCGAGGGCTGAATTTTACAGAGGTGGGAGCCAATGCAAGGTCAACTCAAGAGGACTTTTCCTACCAACAGTGAAAAAAACTGGTTTTCACTAGTAATTGGGCCTTTAAGGGGAAATTCATCTTGCAGAACTGTAGACGTCTACTTCTTAGATGGCCACATCTGAGCTGGACTGCCTTTATAACTGACAGAGGGGAATAGGTGTTCATGGTGCTGTGTTAGCTGCCCTATTTCACAAGTCTATTTTAGTGTGAGGTGCACTGCACCCTTTAAAGGCTTGTTTCTCCCCAGTGACTATAGCAGAGCCCAGATGACTATCTCAGAGGCCACATCTGGATAATGGTAGGTGAGATGAATGCCAGCCCTTGTGACCCATACCAGGCCATGTGGTAGACCGGGATGGTTTGGGCAGGCCCTTTTGCCTGCAGAGTGACACTTCGCCATCGTTGCCTCTCGTTGCTGCTCTGACTGTAAGAATGAATCACCTTACTCACTGGACACACTATTTCAGCATTAACCCAGGCCTTTCTCCCCTTCTTCATAGATCCGTCTGTTTCCCTGTGGTGCCCAGTTCTAAGTGTTCCAGGTACAGCAGTCACAATTTGTTGTTTGGTCTTTCCTCCTCCTTCAAGACAGTCATTTTTTTCCATTGATAATTTCAGTAGGTACTATCAGGATGAAGGAACTTCTTGCTATGATGGAAATAACCCATCAACATACCAATCCTAGAAAATGATACAACCTATCGAATAGTCAGAGATTACAAATATTTGAAATTTTAAAATTTGCATTATGACAAACATGAGACTGGATGATGAAATAGGCCATCTTGGCCTTTAATTCAACAGAACAATAATTCCAGTTTCCTGCAAAAGTACACTTAAACCTGAGCAAGGTCAGTTCTTTGTAACTAGTGCACCAAATATTTATTCCCCCAAAGTGTTGCCTTTCTCTTTGTGTCCTGGTTTCAGCTGGGACAGAGTTAATTTTCTTCGTAGTAGCTGGTATAGTGCTGTGTTTTGGATTTAGATGAGAATAATGTTGATAACACACTGATGTTTTAGTTGTTGCTAAGTAGTGCTTACACTAGTCAAGGACTTTTCAGCTTCCCATGCTCTGCCAGGTGCACAAGAAGCTGGGAGGGAGCACAGCTAGGACGGCTGATCCAAACTGGCCAAAGGGATATTCCATACCATATGACACCATGCCCAGTATATAAACTCGGGGGAGGCTGGGGGGGACAGTGATTGCTGCTCAGGAATGGGTGGGGCATCGGTCGGTGGGCGGTGAGCGGTTGCATCACTTGTTTTTGCTGGGTTTTGTTCCTCTCTTTGTTGTTATTTTCCTTTTCACTACAATTTATTATTACTACTACTACTACTACTATTACTACTACTACTACTACTACTACTACTACTATTTTATTTTATTGTATTTCAATCATTAAACTGGTCTTATCTCAACCCATGAGTTTTCTTACTTTTGCAGTTCCGATTCTCATCCCCATCCCACTGGGGTGGGAAGGGTGAGCAAGTGGCTGTGTGGTGCTTAGTTGCTGGCTCGGGTTAAACCACAATGCTTTGTTATGATGTGATGTCTTTAATGGGGCTGGATAAGGAATATCCTCCCCTTTCTCAGTTCTCGCCCCAGCATTCAGCACAAAGAGATTTATCAAGACACCACTCTTACAGGACCTCTTGTTAAAAACGTGCCTATATCTCATAGTGGCTCAAGTTCAGAGCTTCCTTTTCAGGATAAGGAAGAAATTCAATTAATTTCTTGCACCAGGGAAGTTTTGGGTTCCATTTCTGGGGAAAAAGAGGTCCTGTTTGAAGCCCTGTTTCCAAATCCTAGCTTGGCATCTTGAAAGTCATCCTTCCCAATCTCATATGAAATAAAGACCTTAGCCAGAACTGGAAGATACAGTTCACTTCATTGCCACCGTTACCAGATACCAGATCGGCACATATGTTGATACCCAGGCTGGAAATATCTATTGATGGCCAAGAAACTAACACAGCAATTATTAAGTTTGCTGTGCAGAGGGAGAGCTGTCAGACCTATCCTGACTCTACCCTCATCACTGCTTTGATGCTTATTGCCAGAAAAGCAAATCGATACAAAAATCAAGAATTTCTCTCTCTTTGTAGGTTCGACTCATCCATCCTTTTCCTCATCTGTGATACTGCCAGTGACAGGTATGCCGTTTTGTTAATTGGACTCAGACTTCACCCCATCCCCCAGAGCAGTTACTTTGCCTTTCAATTTGCTGTTCTACCGAAGAGATCCATCTCTGTTATAAGAGCTAATGAGTATACCGCAAGACACATCTACGTCCATGTATTGGGTGAGAAGTCAGTAAAAAAAGTGTAAATAGAGACTGGTTAAGCACTTAAGAAGCTTTTTATAGAGAGGTTTTCAAAGACTCATAAGAGTTGTAAAGGAAAACAGATCAACCAAAAGTCTAGTTTTTAAATGAAGCAATTTTCAGATTCTTTCTCCGAGACTTTGTGTGAATTGAGTGAATAACTTCAAATGGAAAAACCAGGAAAAATGTAAATATTTAAATGATGTGTTTCCTTCACATTTTCAAAGGAGTAAAAAAAGGATGGGCAAATAAAATATTTTCTCACAGCTAAACTGGTGCATTTAGATCAATCTGAAGAGATTTTCTTCTCCCCCTTCCCCATCTTCCATTCAACAATTAGCTGCTAAAATAGAAATTGTCTTTTACTGTGTATATGCTCAAGACTTTGTACAAGGGGTCTTGATTCCAGCTGGAGTCTGCTGACAACTGTAGCACACATTATAATAAGGAGGAATAATGAAGTGAGGTAAAGGAAGGGAAGGAGGAGTATTGCAAACTATGCCAGAGACCGCAGCATCGGTAGTCCCTGGTTATTTGGCCGTGGTTGCTCTCTAGTTGCCCAGGTCCTCTCTTGCTGGGTCTTGTTTGCCCCAGGGAGCAAAGCAGAGGGGCAATATGGAAAAACTATCGCCTCTGGGCATAGGGGCAAGATAAGCCCCTATCCCAGGTCTTGCCTGTTTCTCCCAGTTGGAGTAATTGCAATAATTACAGATAAAACCAGGTGCTAACTGTGATGATTTTCTGTTTTAACAGCTATTTTCTTTGTTCTGCTTATCATGCCTGCTGTCTTTGTGTGACTCACCAAGCAGAGAATACGGTAAGTGGGACGGAACCAGGAAAATGTGAAATCTAAAAAAAAAAATCCCTAGCAGTGGAAGAGCTACCAACCGGACCAGCCATTTCACTATTGCACTGCTTAGATTCCTCAGTACCTTCTTTGGTATTAAATAAATAGCCCTGGATTTTGGGTTGTCTGCTTCAGCTATTAAATACTGGCACAAGAAAAGGAGGAATCGGAGCTTTTGAAATCAAAAAGCACTCTTTGTCCTCGCCATTGTAGAACCGAGAATGGCAGTTCAAATAATGGGTGGAAAATTAATCCCATGGGGAAATTAAGGTTAATTATGCAAATATGTTGGTTTCAGATAGATTACGCAATCAGTCTTTTTCTCTCTGGCTAACCTGTGGGACGTCTGGTAGACCATCTGCCACCACGACCACGTAATTCTTCTTCCTTCATCCCCCTGATTTCTCAGTCATGTCATGACAACTTTATACTTTAGACTTATTTTAGTCTGTCCTCCTTGCTGTTTCTATTCCTACATTGAGACGCACAAAGGCTGTTCCTGTTCACAGGCTCCCCAGCCTAGTTAATCCAAGATGTCCCTGTTTGACACGTGAGAGTTCTCCTTTTCTCCTCTCGCTTTGCTAATCCTCATCCCCTTTTGTCTTCATGTTCCTTACTAATTACTGATAGGCTCTGGTTCTCTGTTGAATGGGGATTTTTCTTGAAAAGGAAGAGGACCTTGTGAAACCACATCAGCAGTGCTTTTTTGCCAGTTCACCATAGGATAAAGCCATAGAAAGTGTAGACAAAGCTTTGAAACATGTTTTAGTGAAGACAGTCAACCGTGGTGCAGATTGCCCAGGTCATTGTGGAATTTCTGCGAATATGATAGGTGAAAAATTGGCAAGAATGATCTACATTTCACTGGCCCTGTGGTGGAACAAGTGATGAAATAGCTGATACCAGATGAAAACCCTTGGAAACATTCAAGGACAGGCTAGATGGGGCTCTTAGCAACCTGATCTAGTTGAAGATATCCCTGCCCATTGCAGGGGGGTTGGACTAGATGACCTTTAAAGGTCCCTTCCATCCCAAACATTCTACAATTCTATGAAATAGTAACTGACATCTGCAAAAAGTACTGTGTGGTTTCTCATAGTAAATATAGAAGAAGCCATAGAAAGAAGAAACCTGTCTCTTCCCAGCTGTAGTAAAGTCTTCTTCCTGCTGTAGAGAAGACTTCTCAGGGAATTGTGGCATTCAGATCCAAACTCATGAAATCGATGCCTTGCCACAGAAGAAACCAGATTGTACCAGCAAATCCAAGACCAGCAGTGGCAAATGAGGAGGAAGCCTGGACACTCAAATCTAACATGTGAAAGAGGCAGAAAATAGTATGGCTTAATTCTTACGGGGACAGAGTGACTTTCCACCTACGAGTACATGTGGAGGGAGTGCACCCACCATTGACAGACGGGGAAAGAGCCCTGCCTGAAACTGCTTCCCAGAAACACTTCTCCTCCTCCTACCATATAGCAGATGTATTGCTAATATAACTGCAGCCTCTCCCAAGCGACCAGGTGTACATATGGACCACTCGCCCAAGCATGTTAGATGATGGCACCGTCATTACAGCCCACACACCACCTTCCCCACAAAGAGAGATGCTGGACACCTGATGTCCCCCATCCCTTCCCTACCCAGATGGGTCAAACACAGTCACACTTTTCTCCTCCTCACACTGTTCCTCTTGGAAAAGGAAATTAAACCCATTTGCCCTCTGCACATAAGCTGAAGATCTTACTGGACTCCCTCATGGTTCAGTATACACATGCATTCGTCATCACCACCCTCTTCCCAATTATTTTGGACTAGCCTCTTCCACAACAGTTACTACATTATTCCTCCAGCTCAGAAAAGGATGCTGCAGATTGTGGCAGTTGATTAATTTGACAGCTCCTTTCGTAGATGCAGAGAACCAAAGAACCTAGCGCAAAGGCATTTGAGGACAGACTCAAGCATACACAATACTTGACATGTATTTATATTATTGGGAATTTGTGAAGTCTGAATAGTCTTCTGCCTCTTTTTAGCCATGCTCAGCCTGATAGGATGGGGTTCATCTGACAAAATGCAAGCATCTATGTTTGAGGCAGCCAACGGGGAGGAACGAGTCCCTTCAGAGAGCAGTTCATCTCACCCTATTGCCTATAGATATGTGTGTGTATGTGCATATTTATTTATTTCTGTCACAAATATACACACACAGAGATATATAAATATATATATACAGGCCAAAGGACTCATGGTCTAAAGGCACCTGTTTCTCTGCACTGACTCTAAACAATGCCCAGATTGACCAGATTAGCTATAGATGCTTACATGGCATACGATAAAAGCAAAATGGGATGAATCCCTTCCTTATAATTCAGGAGGCATGAGGTCTTAGTGTAGTTTCCTATTTTGTGATAGAGCATATGTGTGATTGTTTTACTGGTTTGTATTCCTGTTGAGTTATTCTCACTCCATAGCCTTGATATTTATACTTCCCATGGCTTTTTTTATTCCTGTTGGAATAGGAATTATTTGTACTATGTAACTTTATAAAGACGGATGTGTAATGGTCTATTACATGCTGTTATTTTGTATGGGAGCAAACAACAATCTGTATTTATGCAATGGATTATATGTTTTCACACCTGTCAGCTGCTCTGAAGGCTGCAAGCAGTGGTACTAAGCACTTCAGCTTCATTTGGTCGATGCACGTTACTTATTGCTAACGTATCTCTGTTAAGCGCTGCGGTTAGGCTGGCACGGCTTGTCCTGCTCAGGGCATTTCACTGGAGAAGGCTAATATTTCATCTACTCCTAGCATGCACATTTTCATGCACATAACAAGAAAAGAGTCATATGTTTCCTACTGCTCCAGTGGTTTTTCCTCCTTTCCCTAGCTAGGTTGGCTCAGGGGCTCTCTCTCCACATTTTGTCTTTGTTTCTTGGAAATTAAGGGAGACACACAGCTGGTAAGGGACCTGTAAGCAATACTGGGTTACAGACTGGACAACTATTATGCGGTTTAATTTTCCTAGCTATTAATGTCTACATAGAGAGTCTGAATCCAGGTCACCTCTGGCATGGGAGCTGTATACATACTTTATCAAGAAGGTATAACTCTCAGTTGAGCTGTACTTTACCTCTCAGTAGGGCTTTTTGGCCCTCAGGGGAAATGTTTGTGTCTGAGGCTTGAGCCTTCAATACAACAAACAGAGAGCAAGTAGAAATCAGTAGGACCCAGCCTGGGGGCAAATCGTCACCACTGGAAGAGGCTGTGGCCAAAGGGGCAGCATCACTGTTGTGCTTTCTCCATGGCTGCTCTCACTTGTTTTACATGAGATGTGGTGGTTGATATTTTTATTTTGTAGACTTTGATTTTCTCAGCGTGGAACAACTAATAAACTATAACAATAAATTGTTCTGGATGCTTGAAAGGCAGCTTGTTCTTCTTGCTATTGATTTAAACTTTGAAAAATACATGATTTATTTTCCGTTAGCTTCTCGTTTTAACAAAAGGTATGACAAACTCAGGAACGTATCACAGGAAGGTTTATTCTAAAGACCTGTGCTAAAGCTCACATCACACGTGCACTATCACAGCTAACCTTTAAAATTCAGGAAGAAACTAAAAATATTTGGGCAAGAGGATCTCTGGCAATGATGTCTCCAAAATAGATAATGGAAGCAATTAATAGATTTTTACAATCTAAGGGCAGTGGAGCTCCCTTAACCGTAACTCTCCCCAAGAGGGAGAAATACACATACTCCTATACCATGGCCAGGAACCCAAGTGTGAGAAAACGTGTTTTTCCAGAAGTCTGCAGTGTAAGAATCAGCCTGCACATTGCAATGCATCATCATATGTGCCTTCATATAGGTGTCTCCATGTGAGCTGGTCCCATCACAGTGGAGAAAAGAGGAGTCTAGAGAGACTCAGCTACCAAATGCAGGTGTCCGCCCAGGCTGAATAGTTTTCCAGACCCCATGGACTGCATCAGCTAGATCTTCATTGACTCTACTGGGAGCTCAGACAGCAGCTCACATAGAAACACCTACAGATTAATCTGGTTGCCTGAAGATAGGTATCTGCCATGATCTGAGACACCCAGGGGTGTCAGAGACATCTACATAGGGCTGGAAGCTACAACACAGGACCTATGGGAGGCCTGATCTCCTCTGTACTGATAACTGGAAGGCAAGCAGCACGATTTGTTTGTGCCCAGCCTGCAGAATTACCCCTACGTGTAAATACCTACTGTAAGACGTCCCAATAAGTGAGCCAGATCTCAGCCCTAGAAGTCATGAAGACTTGTAGAATCTGTCACTCACCTCTGTAAATGCATCACTGAAGAAACCTGATAAAAACATTTCCTGCCACCCTAAGATGAAATAATTTCTTAAGTTTAAATTTAAGCATGTTTTTTGGTTGCAATGACAAATAAAAAACGATATTAGGTGGGGATCTTATGCACAAGTACTGTTTGGTGGCCAAAAATGGCCCATGTCTTAGACAATTTAGACAGTAGATATAAGGCAAGGTTGAGAAGGAGTGCAAGGAGGCAGTGAAAGAGTACAGATCTGCCTCTTAGCCACAGCCTTAACACTGCAGCTACCTACACATTGTCTAGATTTGTTTTTACTTTTTCTATAGGAATAAGAGCATGGCAGGGCAAATATGTGCTCACCGAGGGAGTACGAAGGCATGTGAGCAAAGATTTCAGAACTCCAGCAAGCACCAGCTCCACCAGTCATTTCCATGTCTCTAATTCTCTAATTATTTTTTCCTCCAGCCTTTCTGCAGAAGAAATTCAGGGAACATATTCCCTAACTAGATTTCATTTTTAAAGCTGTGGCATTCATATCCATACCAAGTATGACCCTTTTTGTCAAGAGACTCCAGAGGTGTCATCCCAACTGTGGGGAGCTCCAAATGGGAGGAGGGTGCAGTCCATGGCT